GATGATTTCCCTCTGAGATAGCATCCTGAAATCCAGTATATCGGATGTAAGCTGCAAAAAAAGGTTGTGATCTGGTAGCAAGGAGGTTTTTTTAAGTCAAAAACAGGGAAAGTAACAAAAAATCAAGAGCAGGAGAAAGATAGGCACGTGACAGATGAGTGAGAAGGTTAAATACATATTGAGTGTCTACAATGAGATTTAAAGGTTGATCTGGAAACATTTGAAAGGCAAGGATGACAGTAGCAAGTTCTGCACGCTGAGCAGAGGTCTGAATAGAAGTAAAACAGGTTTTCCAGGTTTCGGGAGGTTGCTGAAAGGTAATCACACCTCTGGTAGGCGCACCATAGGTAAAACCAGTTAGTGCATCAGGAAGAGGAGTAGTAGTGAAAGGAGAGGAAAAGCCAAGGGATACTTGCTGAATTAATGTTAAGCGGGATTAAAACATATGTCGCCAATATAGTCTACAAAAGCAATTTGATAAGTTAGTGACGTAGACATTAAATGATCATGGTCAGTTTTGGAAATAGGTAAGTAATAACACAGAAGATCCCAACCTGTGAGTTGTTTGGCACGATGGCGTCCTTTGATGCCAGCTGTTTCATCAGAATATCAGCGACCTCAGTATTCTCCTCCTGCCCACCCAATTGCTCTTTGCAATTTGTTAATGAAAGACATATAGTCCTCTGTAGGATCCTGATGCAAATTGGCAAAACACCCTAAAGGGTTGCCTTTGTTTAGTATTTTTATCCAGCCTGCTTTAACAGTGTCACCCACTTGTGCCAATCCCCTGTTAGGAATGGTAATCTGCTGTGCTATGGTGACGAAGAGTCCATCTCCATTTAGCATATCTGCAGACACAGCAATATTATTTTGTCCATTATATGGCCAGAATAGCAGTGGCATCTTTCCATTGGACAAGCTCAATTTAAGTGCCTGAGGAACTGCTGTAACTGCACTAATGTAAATTGAGATGGAGTTTTTCGTTCTGGTAAGATCGGAGAAAATGTAGCTTGCAACAGTTTGTACCCTAGATAAAGAAATGGAGGTGTGGTTTGTATCTTTTCGGGAGCTATGTGAAGGCCTTTTTTATCTAAGCAGTTAGCTAGAGAATCATAAACAGCAGTGGGGAGAGATTGCCCAGCCACCAAAATGTCATCCATGCAACACTTTTTTTCAATTCTTTAAACATGGCAAGGGGAAGACTTTCGTGAACACGTTGTCCCTGATTGTTGTGAACCACAGAACAAACAGACATAAGGGGAAGGGCGGCAGGAACATCCTCCGGGCTTCCTTGGGCTATAACATCAAATAACATCTAATGCACCGCTGAATGAGGAGGGAGGAGGAGAAAGGGGAGAAGGGGCTGTTGGAAGAGTGGCAGGAGCTGCGTAGGAAGGAGGATTGTTTCTATTTTCATGGAGTGGAGATGGAGATCTGGTTGCGTAGAGGGTGGCAAAATCTGAGGGGCTGTTGGAAGGTTAGCTAAAGATTGGGCTAACAAAGGGTTCGCGATCTTTGAAATCGCGTCCCAGCAAAGATGCCATGTATGGAGGACATTAACTAAAGCAACAGGGCCTTTGTGCAGTTTATTCCCAATTTTATTCCAATCTGAAAGCTTAAAGCTGCCCTCTTCCGGGTATCAAGGACAAAAAGTACCTATTTGTGTCATTAAATCCTCTACCGAGGCAGATACACCATGGTGGCCTTCTTTATGGAGCAAGTAAATCAGGTCTTTCTTATGTTGATTTTGAAGTGCTGTGACAGTGTTTCCCATCTTGAACTAATACTCACCGGGACCCAAACGAGGATGCAAGGACGCGTCTGGAGCCCGTGCTGGGCGAGGTGAGCTGCTTTGATTGCCTCAGGCGATGTCCCTGTTCGGGCGCCAATTGTGGGTGATCACGGAATGAAGGAAGGCTAATTGCCTTAGAGAGAGAACAAAGGCGTCAACAGCGGATGTCCAAGCCAGCGGAGCCTACTGACAATGCCCCGAGAGCTCTTTTACTTACTTAGCATGATTCCATAGTACATTATGAGAGAGTCAGATAGGATAGTTACCTAATCGTAACTAGGATTGGCTAAAATAACCCTTTGATCTTATGCTGTACCTCTAAGTGAAAGGGCAGAATAAGGGTTTACCCCATCTGCTGGCAGCTGCCGCTTCCTGCCAGGAGTGTATGCACATCACTGGAACAGAATGCAGCTACAGCCTTTAAGCAGAAGTTTCACATACAACATTCTGTTAAATATTGTACTTCTAAAACAAACATTCCAATATGTGATATTTAACTGTGATGAATTTGCTTCATTTGAAAAGTAAGGTGCTATGGAGCACTTAAATCAGCCTGGCCATTCTGTTGTTTGACCTAGAAGCACCATCCCCAATCCTAGATGAGAATTGGCTTTAGTAACCCAATAGAATGCTCCGAAGTGTTTTCTTCCCCATCCGTCGTTCAGGTGGGTAAAGCTTACAAGCCCAGAACTCACTTCTGGAATAACCTTTGGGTCTCGCTGAGACTGAGCACTGATTTTTACATTTTTTTGGTCTTTGCTTTTTTGTTTGTGTGTATGTCGTGAAATTCTTTTGGTCAAAGAAGTCCATGTTCTTGTCCTTAAAATTCCTGTATTTCTATTATTAGCACAGACTGAGGGGCATGGGTAGCTTTTTAGTTGGACGTTGCCTGACCAAAAATATCTTCCATTTAAGGCCTGAGACCTGGCTTAAAAACAGCTCACTGAATTGAGCTATATGTGAGATTAAGCTAGTGGTACATCTTACCTGTATTTGTCAGACCAGGTGAGCAGACTGCAAAACCTGTCACATTCTATTCTAGACAGAGCTTGGTATTACCCTATGCACCTAATCATCTAGTCCTGGCTGTCATATTTCAGTTATGGTATGATATATGTGCTGTGATGTTGTATTGTGAGAACTTGCCAGCCGTAAATAGGGAACAACAGTCCACTAGTAGAAAAAAGCATATAGGGATGGAAGGGGCAGTGTGTGTCAAAAGTGAGCAAGAAGAAGTGACATAGTAGGTTATTCAGGGGAAATAACAATCCTAATGTACCTTGGAAGGATGTTGGGTTGGGACCTTATAGCTTTAAGTGTTTGGGGCATAGTTCAATTAGAGACGTAACTCGTTTGTACTATTTTTGCGTCATTTTCTCTGTTCCAGCAAGAAGATGACAAAGTGTTGAAGCTAGTCCAGAAGAAATTTTGTGCCAGCGGACCATACAGTGGTAAGACGATGGCTAATATCAGGAGGCAAGCAGCGCACCATATTGTACGTGACACCAACCATTCCACGAAACAGCACTTGCACTGTCAGTTTGTGCAGGCAGGTGTCCTTTTTAGGATTTAGATGTTTGAAATAACATAATCGTAAACAAGCAAAAAAATGATCAAGACTTAAGTTCTAGTTTTTATTGTTATCTTTTCTACTCCGTGTCTTCACATTTTATCTAGTAAGATTGTAAACTGCCTTTAAAATGATTTTGCAGTGTTTTTATAGTACCTGTGTTTATCTAAACCTCATTTGAAGAAATTGTTGCAGAAGGCAGTTAAAAACTGGATTTACACAGCTGGTATTTCTCTATACATAAAATCTAGTATTGAACAGATTCACTTGCTCCATAGGCACAAAATTAAACAAACCAGATATTTGGCCTTAGTCAGGCATGCAGTAAGAAGCCAACTGTATTATTAGTGAATTTGTACAGTTGGTGAAAACAAGCGATTTCTAGCCTAATGCTTGCTGAAAAGCAGAGCCATCAGTCTACCTAATCTTGAAGACATAGAGATTTTTTTCTTCAAAAGGGAGCCCTTAGAGCTATGAACACCAGATGATTCATGCAAGTGAGATAAATCCTGTGCCTCAAGGTAAAGCACACAACAAAAAGCCTAATCCAGTAATTGGCCACTTTGAGCTAGAGGTTGGGAGGAAGGACTATTCCTGTGTTTGAGAGACACTCACTCAGCCAGTCTTCCAGAGGAAACTTTCATGGAGGATATATAAAGTGTATGAGATTTAGTTGCTAATTTTGCCAGACATGCCACCCCGGAGAAAAAGCAAGGGAATGAGAGGTGAGAGAAAATCTTCATTTCCTTCAGGAAATGAAATAGTTTGGGGTATCTGGAACTCTTTGGCAGTGTCTTAGCACAATATAGATTTTCTCTCACCTCTAACCATGCACATTCCCTTGCTTTTTCTCCGGGGTGGCATGTCTGGCAAAATTAGCAACTAAATCTCATACACTTTATATATCCTCCATGAAAGTTTCCTCTGGAAGACTGGCTGAGTGAGTGTATCTCAAACACAGGAAAAGTCCTTCCTCCCAAGCTTTAGCTCAAAGTGGCCAATTACTGGATTAGCCTTTTTGATATTTCCTGTTCAGGCAGAATGTTTTTATTGTTTCTTATCTAAATTTGGTAATGGTTACCTTGCATTCTTTTATCTACTATTATCTATGACCCAACCAGCATTCTGATTCTGCTCACTATTTCTGATTTATTGTGGAGCATACTGTTGTCCCCAATCCGGTTTTTTTCCCCTAAATTGAACAGATCTCATTCTATTAATTTGTTACCAATATCCTTCATTCTGTTTGCTGATTTGCATTCACTTTGAAGGCACAACAAGGTTCATGTGGAAAGGTACCACTGGATGTTTTTGTAGGGCTGATTCAAAGGTTTGTGTTTTCTAATCTATTCATGTGGTGGTAAGAATGTATTTTACTGTTCCTGTATCTGAATGGGTTGAAGTGTCTGATTGGGACGCAGGAGCTTGGATGCCCACTGTGGCTGCAAATAGGAGACGAGCTGAGGTCACATGGAGCCTGTGTGGATGATTGAATTATGGGCATCACCACCTGTGTGGCTTTGGGCAAGCTACAGATTCCCAAAATGCTTCCAGAAGGGAAATCATTTCTGAGTACTATAAGTCTAGACAACTCTGGGAGCATTGTCGTAAGTTTACTTGATGTCACATATAATTGTTATGAAGAGTGTGTTTTTAATTGCTTTGAAAACCATATGGTTGGAAAGCAGTATATGTACATTTTATAGTAAAAGTATATGTCTGCCGCAAGAACAGTTGTTTATTGAACATACCCACAAGGCCTCCTTGATGTTTCTTAAGCACTTATGTCAGGTGGACTTCTTCACCTGGGCCAGGGAAAATGCTGGGCCAATTCCTAAAATGGTCATGCAGATAGTGCAAGGAGATACCAAGTATTCTTCAAATACAAGTCTATATTTTTGTTCCAGTTTCACTTTGGACTATCTTCTCAGGGATTAGTATGACAGCAGAGCAGCAAAAATGTGAAATCAGTGTAGAGTGGCAGGCATTCAGTTAAAGCATAGCTGTTTTGGTTTTACTCCCCCAACCTACTAGTTTTTTCAGTTGGCTTGATTAAAATGGGTTCAGTGAACCTTTGATTCACACAGACTACTTTCCACATGAAATTTGTTTTCCAGATTGATCTGGTTGAAATGGGTTCCATTTTTCAGTGTCTTATTCACATAAACCGCTTCCCAGGTGGAATGACATATCATGGCTCTGAATTTCAGTATGTTATATTGTCTGAATGTGACAGAATGTGGCTAGAAGCATGTTTGCTGAATTAAAGCAAGTTCTTATAAATATGGCCTGAGAATTAATTAAATTATCCTTCCAAGTGCCTAGGAAATTTGGTTGTCTGGTACACCTTATTACATATTTCATTTGACCTAGAAAACCATATCAGAGAGCTGCTGTTCTTTGCAAGTTTCAGGGTTTTGAAAGTGCTGTACAGTTTGCATTTCAACAAAAACTTAGAAGCTTCAATGAAAATATTCTATGCAGAATCATTGCCTTGATCTTGAATAGAGGTGCTGACTTGAAGCATCTTTATTGCTGTACAACCTTAGGATTGATTTTGTTGGAGCTGGGTAGAGTACCACACAATGCCCTGTTCTGTCAGGCATTCTTTTCTTTCATACAGGGGAGGATTACCCTCTGTGGATGATTCCTATCAGTATCTGTACAAGTGAAGACCCAACTCATGCCAAAATCCAAGTGCTGATGGACAAGCCTGAGTTAACCCTGGTTTTGAAAGACGTGAAGCCAGAAGAGTGGGTGAAGGTGAGCAGGTGTAAAAGGGGAACTGTTCCTCTGGCAGGATTTGAAAGATTATATAGTCTACTGATCTATCTCATAATTTTCTTGGTCAGCACCTTGTGTGACAAGGAGACTAGAGATGGGGACAAATAAAAACAATGGCAATTTGTTTTGATCCGTTATTCGTCAAGGTTAATGGATCAACGGATATGAATATAGAAATATTCTTCGACGAATCGATCTGTTGATTTGTCTGCACTTTAAATGGCTATAACACTGGCCCCCGATGACCTAAGGACGCCAAATTTGCAGGGAAGCTTCCTTGGACACGTTCCTACAACTCCCAAAAGTTTGGTGAACATTGGATCACGCCCCCCAAGTTATATAGTCACAAAGAGGACCCCCCAAGAAAGCTCCCCCCAGGTACTTAGAGACTCCAGAATCGCAATGGGGCTTCTTATCTCTTTCCCCAACACGCCTGCCGACTTTGGTGAAGATTGGATATCAGACATCCAAGTTATTCACCCACAAATTGCCCCCCCCAAGAGAGTTTACCACATGGCACAGAAGCCCATTCTGCCTACCAGCCGCCGATCAACTGATCAGAAGCCAATAGGCAGCCACACCCACACACACAGCCAGCCACCACAACAGCCTACCCCCACACCCCCTTCTTTTCCCTATCTTAGCCCCCACTCTCTCCCACCGACACCCTCTTACCTTAATAGCTGCTGCCGAAGTCTCCATCAGGCCTTCACAGCCACAGCATGTAAAAATAGAGACTGGCTGCCCTTTGCAAAGATGGTGGCTGTGGCTTCATTTAGGGTAGGGAAGCTGCAGCTGCCATCTTTGCAAAGGGCAGCCTGGATTCCCTT